TTCCGAGACTCACTTGTACAGTTATTTTGGTAGACAGAGAGAAGGATGCGTGGTGATTGATCTAGGTGTTCCACGGAAGATACTCTGCATTCCAAGTCTGTCAGCAACAGGACTGCAAGTGTTGCACGCTGATCACTTGAATTAGACGTTTCTCTGAGAGAGTTTGTTAAACTGTACGGCTAAGCTAATTTATTGTGGTTCCTGACATGTCCTGGAAGACAGGTGAGCGGACAGGTGAGATAACCAGCACATGTGGATTCGGTGAAACCGTACTAATGTATGCCCTGCAGCCCACTAGCATGAGGAACCTAGACTTTAACTGTACTATACAAAGAATTCTATAGTGACTTTACTAGATGAAAAACGTCGTCTGCCAGCTCAACATAGACGAAGATGCATAGCCGGCTAATCTACAACACCTTTTTAAGGTCATGGCAGTTTTCCACTCAGTTAGCGAGTAGCAGTAATCACTATCATACCTAGGAGACCCGCTTTTTTCTGTGACATCTTTTTTCCGGACTCGGTTCTGCAATCTGATGCGAGGAGCCGTCTGTTTGTCACATGAAATCCACCAAATTATCCAGCAGATTGACTGTCGCTGTTCTGAATCCAGTCAAAGCCCAGATTTTTCGTAATCGGGTCTCATCTAATTTATGAAATTTGTCTCGCAACTTAACAGTAACATAACAGCAATGGCGTCGATGTTTTCCGGGATGAAATGTTAAAAACTCCTTCTTTATCACTTCATCTGTTAGATTATTCGGTAAATTCCATATGATACAGTGGGTTGGACGAGTACCCGAGTCCAAATGTGAGAACTTCTGAGCTCCTGTCATGGCTTCGTAGCTCAGCTGAGTGTGGGTATGCTGTTTCTGTCGCTGGTTCGAATCCAGCTGAAGCCCAAATGTTTCATAGTTGGGCCTCATTCAAATTGTGAACTCTACCACACTAGATCGTTTATTTTGAAGAGCAATTTACACATCTTCGTTCAAGGGATGAACAAGCGGCGACACCAAGATAAGCAACAGATATGTAAAAAGGTGAATGTGAAAACAAGCTGCCTGTCAAATGTGAGACGCTGCATAGTTAGCAACACTGATCAGTTAACAAGTCCTCTCACAAGAATAGCAAGCGTTAATGGGTCAGTCAACAAGTGAAAACTTATTTGTGGCGTATATACCAAACAGTTTTAGAATTTAAAAAAGAATACATGAAAAATAACAAGAATAAAATAGGTGAACGGTCGGTCTCACAAAAGCAAAAGCTCTTCGGGGCACAGAAGTGCTGTCACAGTCAAGGCTCATGCATCGGGACAGAAAAA